CCTTCACAATAGGGTCAATATTAGATTTATACATATTTCCCCATACCGCGCAACACAATATGTCATATGCCCAAAATGTGCTGGATACCAGACCTGTAGGCCTGGAATTGAATACCCCTGCTTTATACTCTCAGCAGGGCCCTAGAGAGAGTGGGTGAGAACACTTTTAACCAGTTAACGAGGTCGTCTCCCAAGTAGAGTACAGGGTCTTGTTCACAAATGAAGGAAAAATGAAGCAGGAGATCGGTAGGCAGATTGATGCTACGTCTGCAGTGATGAGGACGTGGAGAACAGAGAGCTGAGCCAGAATGTGACGCTTTCGATTTACTGGTCGATCTACATTCCAACCCTAATCTGTGATCATGAACTTTGTGTAGTCACTGAAAGAACGAGATCACAGATACAAGCAGCCAAAATGACTTTTCTCTGCAGGGTGACTGGGCTCTCCCTTAGAAGCAGGATGAGAAGCTTGTCTTCCCGGAGGGGCTCGGAGTACATCCGCTGCTCCTCCACGTCAAGAGGAGCCAGTTGAGGTGGCTCGGGCATCTGGTCAGGATGCCTCTTGGATGCTTCTCTAGTGAGGTTATAGATGATAGATGGATGGATGGATGGATGGATGGGTGGGTGGGTGGGTGGGTGGGTGGGTCGGTCGGTCGGTCGGTCGGTCGGTCGGTCGGTCGGTCGGTCGGTCGGTCGGTCGATCGATCGATCGATCGATCGATCGATCGATCGATCGATCGATAGATCGATAGATCGATAGATCGATAGATCGATAGATAGATAGATCGATCGATCGATCGATCGATCGATCGATCGATCGATCGATCGATCGATCGATCGATCGATAGATAGATAGATAGATAGATAGATAGATAGATAGATAGATAGATAGATAGATAGATAGATAGATAGATAGATAGATAGATAGATAGATAGATAGATAGATAGATAGATAGATAGATAGATAGATAGATAGATAGATAGATAGATAGATAGATAGATAGATAGATAGATAGATAGATAGATAGATAGATAGATAGATAGATAGATAGATCGATCGATCGATCGATCGATCGATAGATAGATAGATAGATAGATAGATAGATAGATAGATAGATAGATAGATAGATAGATAGATAGATAGATAGATAGATAGATAGATAGATAGATAGATAGATAGATAGATAGATAGATAGATAGATAAATAGATAGATAGATAGATAGATAGATAGATGATAGATAGATAGATAGATAGATAGATAGATAGATAGATAGATAGATAGATAGATAGATAGATAGATAGATAGATAGATAGATAGATAGATAGATAGATAGATAGATAGATAGATAGATAGATGATAGATGGATAGATAGATAGATAGATAGATAGATAGATAGATAGATAGATAGATAGATAGATAGATAGATAGATAGATAGATAGATAGATAGATGATAGATGGATAGATAGATAGATAGATAGATAGATAGATAGATAGATAGATAGATAGATAGATAGATAGATAGATAGATAGATAGATAGATAGATAGATAATTATACATATATATATACAGTAACATATATAAATATTAAACATATATATGTTTTATATATGTATATTTGTAACATATATATAATCATATATGTATACATATACTATATTCTATCTATCTATCATCACACCCTGGTGGGGATGAGCTACATTGTAGCCACAGCTGTCATGGGAAACACTGACATAGGACAGTCTGCCGTACACAGACGCCACCGGTCCCTCTGAATACCACTCGTAGGTAAGGTTGATTAAGTGTCTTGCCCAAGGACACGACGACAGAGACAGATTGAACGGGGCTCGAATCTGCAACCTTCCGATTACAGGGTTAGCACTTAACTCCTGTGCCACCAACATTCATATAAGATATTAAAGTAGCAGTGTGTAGTTTCCTAGCACTAGGGGGCAGTACATGCATAAATTTCAGGATAGTTTTATACCATATCACCATGACTGTCGCCAGTTTAAAAAAACATTACGGTAAGTGTTGTTCCTGCGATGGACTGGCTCTCTGTCCAGGGTGTACCCCGCCAGATTGCCCATTGACCAGCCCTCCCCGCGACCCTACGTGGACAAAGCAGGTTCAGACGATGGATGGATGGATGGATGGATGGATGGATGGATGAATGGATGGATGGATGGATGGATGGATGGTATGTGTTGTTACCTGTGGAGCAGAAAGCATGTGACTATATTGCATCTCTTTTTCGATTCTGTTCTTTCACATAGGTTTTGGAAGAAGCTTGGAAGTTGTGTTATTGGATTTATTAGATTCATGTTTCTTACTGCCCAAATGTTTTTGAACTTGGTAACGTAGTAAAGTTGTAAATCCAGCCAATCATCTAGTGCGATGCCCTCGACAGGCACAGGACCCATAGCCAGCAAGAAGGAAGCATGGTGTTCAATATGGAGTCCGCCAAAGACGCTTAACCTGCGCCTTACGTACTTTAGACCCAATTTTTATGGTTATATGTTACGAAGCTGTCAATATTTTTCAACGAATGGACATCATTTTATTCATTTTCAACAGCGTTTTGATGGATATTTCCAGAAATTAAAATTACACACTGCCTTGCCAAAAAACGTCACCACCCAGAGCCTCCTGACGTGAGCGATTATCTTTCACCTGTCTACAAGTTATTTTACCCCAGCTGATGCAATGAATAACTTCTCATTTCTTACACAATCCGGTTGAAAAATGCATCCCAATGGTCCGTGAAATGAATGCAGTCTGTTTAAGAAGGGTCAAATCACTGGCATGCATCAAGCTTAGAAGACATCTAAGGAGATTGCAGAAAGTACTAAAACTGAGTTAAGAACCGTCCAACACATTATTAAAATTGGAAGGTAAGTGGGGAACCATTGTCTTCAAGGACAAATGTGGTTGGAAAACGATCCTGAATAATGGTGATCATCTTAACATTTGGTGTAATCAGATCAAAGACCAACAACAGACGGACTCAGGGAAATGATTAATGGTGAAAGTGAGAGCATTACACACACACACACACACACACACACACACACACACACACACACACACACACACACACACACACACACACACACACACACAGTGCAAAGGGGTTTATAGATAGGGACTGAACAGCTGTGTAACCACAAGAAAACCACTAATCAGTGAAACTAACTAGAGAAAAAGACTTCAATTTGGAAAGGGAACATGAAGGCCGGACTCTGGAACAATGAAAGAAAGGCTGTTAGTCCAGACTGACCCCCTTTCACGTTGATGGGTGCATTAAGGCAAGACTAGAGGCAGGTGAAGAAATGCTCCCTTCATGTCTGGTGCCTATTGTACAAGCCCGTAGAGGCAGTCAATGATCTGGTGTTGCTACAGTGAGTCGGCCACAGGTTCAGCAACATTCTGTTCCCTAAGAATGAGGTTATGTAATCACCTGAATATACAGAATGACCAAGTAATTCCAGCAGTAGAGCCTTTCTTCCCTGATGGCATGGACATGTTCCAAGATCACAATGCAGGCTCTGATTGTGAAGAGATTAATTCTCTATTAAAGCTTTAATGGCAAATCTGCAAAACAAGCAAGCTTTTAAACACAAAAATAATCCCAGAACTCTCACCCCTCCATTCGGCTATCATGTCCAGGCCACATCCACCTGATACCAGAACACACATAGAGGAAACGAGAGAGTGCTAAACACCCATTTTCTATGTTCAAACATGTTTTTTTGTCCGAAATGTCAAATAGTGTTTTTCTTTTTGCAACTCTTGAAGTTAGTCCTAAAGGTGACGTGGTGGCAGCCGTGTGTTTCTGCTTCTCTGACATTATTGAGTGGAGAACCTTTCACACTAGTGGTGTTGTGTTGCTAAATGTGGGAATGCATAATGAGTGGAGGGCAGGTAAATGCAGAAGTGCGGTGGTTTAGTGAGATAGGTGGTCCCATCGTTGTTTTCAGACATAACTGCATTATAGGCAGATGTTTTTCTGATTTTTTCATTAATTTTTTAATATCCACAATATATAGTTGTAGCTTTTGTAAAAGGTATGAAAAAATGTTTTAGGCTAGCTTGTTTTGCACCATATGTCTTTCTGCAAGTCCATGTCCATCCCCTCTGTCTGCACCAGATGCTCCTTTATATGAAGCATGCAGAAAAGCAGCTTCTGGTATTCGACCCCGCAACTTTCTCGCTGCGAGGCAACAGTGCTATCAACTGCACCTCGATGCAGCTTGACTTTTAACATCTTTGAACATATTTAGTAACTTTTGAGCTCTACAAGCTGATATACCAGTTGTGATGCTCACATTTATAACAACTTCATTAATATTCCAGAAACATCTGCTTTCACTGATAAAAGACATAAATAAACCAAATCATCATACAAACTGTTCCACAACTGCTCCACATGGGGAGACCTCCGTGCACAACTGCGACAGTGCAAACATGTTTAAACACCAGCCCCATAAAACACTTAAAGCAGTGGAACAGGGTCCATAAATCAGAAGAAATCCTCCACTTCCCATTGTTCCTCCCTCCATGCTTCAAACTGGCACAAATGATGACATGAGGCAGAGATAAGTGGGGCGCTTGCTCTGTTTGTGTGTCTGTGTGCAGCAGGCAGCTGTTAACGCTGCATTGAGCTGGAAGACAGCAACATAAAACTAATGGCTTAAGCTTTCCCGGGCGATTGCCATCAAATCTACCTCCCTTACAACACACAAGCGCTCTCATTCGCCCTCTGCTGAGGCACCTGTCAAGGTAAAATCTCCTCAGACTGAACAGGTAAAAATAAATCCCTGATTTTAGTGTAAAATTGGTTTAAAATAAATAATTTCTGTATTTTAGGAGACAGAAACACACGATAAAAAATAGTTTAGTTACTGATTTTAATGAACTGACCTGATCTTGGTCAGAAGATAACCACCCATGGGTGGGACTTGAACTACCAGAGGCTTGGTGACGTTTTCAGCGCATATAATCACTCAATGCGTCGCGGCACTGTGAGTCTGAGTGACCTCCCCGTGCGCAGAGCTCCTTTCACGGATGAAACTTAAAAACAAATCTCGATAAGAGCGTCACCATCTGAACATGCCATCATGGAGACCTCACCTCACAGATATCAGAAAAATGACTCAAAGTGAGCAGCTGAGCTTGAGGTGGCGCAAGGGACGATTCCATCAGCGCGTGAGCGCTGGAGACGCTCATCAGTTGGCTGGATAACGGAGAGGCGCACCGGAGCGCACAGGCTGGATCTTATCTGCACACGGTACGTGATTTAAGTGATTCCACTCTGGCAGCTGTAGGCTCAAAAAGTCACGGAAATTAGATTTAAACAGTGAGGGTGAGTGATGAGATCGTGGTTTCATAAATCCGTGTGCGTAAAAACCGCACTGCGTGAGGAAAACCGTAGAATATTTGCGTTTTAGGCCACCTTCATAGCTATTTTCAACGGAATATAGTATCCTCTGGAGATCTCCCCTTGCGCTCAAGAAGTGTCCAAAATTAATTAGCAAGTTCCCACGCTTTTCAGTTTAATTCCCACGCACCAGCTCGGGTTGTTTTGCAGTTTCCACCCACAGATGTGACCAGCGGGGAGCCTCTTTACTATATCAACTTATTTCCGTCTGTGTTTCCCAGGAGAGTGTGTACATTTTAAATAGAAATGTGGCTTTAGGGGGAGAAATGCGGGGTTAACTTCTCACACACAAATTAGTCCAGGCAGGCATATGGTTCCTTTAGGATTGCAGCTGTTGAGTCTTGAATTCTGTGGACAAAAATGTCAAGCAAGCTGAAGGGGACAGGGGCTTCAAGTGTTTGTTTTCTCAATAGCACGCTGCGGGCTGCGCGTCACTCCCGTGTTTTCTGGAGCGCGGTTCAACGACTCTCCACGCGCAGGCTTTTATTTGTGCAACACGTTTGCGCAGCCTCGGGTTGAACCGGCTAACATTTGACTACTTTTCATTAGCAGTGACTTCTTTCCCCCTGAGAGGATCAGAACTTCAACTGCTCAGGTCTCAGTCCAGATCACCTCGAGCTATGATAGGCTAATTATTACTTTGGTTCTGTCAGATTTAAAACTTTAAGCCATTCAGGGCTTCATTTGTAATAATAAATCTCACCACATCTTTAGTTCGGGCTACTGGTGAATCATCTTTAAAGCAAAAATTCAGATTTTTTTTCCTGATTTTACGCACAATGAACAGCCTTAGTTAGGAGAAACAAAGATGAGTTCTGACAGGAATGATGAGATACTCCAGATGTGGCTAACTGAGTGTTCCTAAGTCAAATTTAAATAATCAAATGAGGTTTTCCTTGTTAAACACTCATATTTTTGAGAGTCCTAATGTATTTTTTCATTACAAATGTAACTGCGATGGACTGGCTCTCTGTCCAGGGTGTACCCCGCCTGATTGCTCATTGACTGCTGGAGATACCCCCCCACACACACACACCCCACCCCCGTGACCCTATGTGGACGAGCGGGTTCAGCAAATGGATAGATGGATGAAACTTATTTTTAAACAACTGGGCATCATTTAATTCATTTTCAACAACATTTCTATGGAAGTTTCGAGAGATTATTTGGTTAAAACTACACATTGTCACTTTAAAATTAATATGAAGCTATGCCCATTACATATTACACTGTAAACCCAAAAGTTCAAAATAATCAAATATACAGAGTAGATGAAAGTCATAATATAATTTAAAAAAATGTTTTTAGAACTTAAATGTGTTGAGTTAGTTCAACCTTTTCCTTGTTTTAAGTACATAGAACTGAAATGTTTTAAAATCAGAACTATTTCTTTTTTTTAAGTAACCTAAATTAATCAATAAAAACTACTTAACTTTAATGAGTAATAAAATACTGATTTATTATTTTATGTTTCTATATTATTCCATTTATCTTTACATCAACCCTAAAGTGTGTCTGATAAACAGACTTGTATATTTTTTTAAATATTTGTGGATTTACAGGAAAAACAACCACAAACTTGCAATTTTGGTGGATTTCAGGAACAATAAACAACTGGTGGGCGCGGTGCATTGTGGGTAGTCATATTTTCAGTCATTTTGCCCTATTTTGCAGTGTTTATTGTGGAGGATTGTTGTTCTCATTATTTCATTTAATGTTGCAAATGTGGTGTTACTTTTTGCATCATGTTGGCTCCATAAGTGCAGGTTAGTCAAAGTAATGCTGTGCCGCTGTGCCGTCCCATTGTTATTAATACTGTGATTTTTTCCCACCAGATGCTCTTGACTTGACTTTGAGTGATCCACTTTCATTGGCTGTTAGCATCTATGGGTGTGAGTCATGATCTGGTGTACTGCCTTCACCAGCCTGCCACATTGTCATTTTTAAGTAAATTCAACTTATTTGGGTAAGGGTTTAATAGGTCAATTTAGAATTCATATAAGTTATAATATTTAAGTTAGTAAAAACTTGTAATACAGTTCAAATAAAATAAAATATGCAAGTTTAGTGAAATTAAACTTTGTAAGTTGCTTAAGTGCTAAGTTATAGGTTGGAGGTAGTTAGATGCTTTAATTTTATTCAGGTCGTATTTTTTAAAGTTATGGTAAACTTATAGTTTTTAGATAAGTGAACTTAAACATTATTAGGTAATCAGTTTCCTCATATATTTTGAGTTCAGCGAACTTATTCAGGGTTACAGTGTACATAACCACAGATCAAGACAAAAAATCCATCTTACAAGCAGAACTCTACGTATGGTAACAAATTGTACCCACTAGCATATTGTTTGCATTTGTTATGCCGTTAAAATAAAAACTATTAGAAAACAATTGTTTAGTTAATTGCAGCAGAAATTATCAATAGTCTGTTAACTTTAGAGCTTCTTTTTGATGCTTCTGCAGTGTAACATTTCTGCAGGAGTTTCACTTTAATCCTGCAGATCTATGAAATGTAAAACTGATGAACAACTCAGAGTTAACGAAATTACTTGTATTATCTGATTTTTTCATTTAGAGTTGGTTAACAATACTTTCAGTTTGGCCTCACAGTAAATAACCAATAACTTAATATCACTATCTCATGACCTTTCCACAGAACCCACATTTAAAAATGAGTTATTTGTTTATAACGAAAAATAAATTAGATTTTATTTATTTACATTTTCTTTCAGATATTGAGTGGAAAGTTGCAATATTATTTAGTTTTAAAGCAAAAAGAAACAGACATTTTAGGAGACTCTTTTCAATGGTGACATGCGCTGAAAACGGAGGTTGGGCTCCCCACAGACGCCTCTGTTGCTGGTTTTCTGCTCGACAGGTGAGCTAAAGTTCGGCGTGCTATTTGGAGAAATTTATTTCAGAGAACTGCTAGAAGTACTAAAAGGCCGGCAGCTACTTGTAAACAGGGTGAACGAGGATAACTAAGTGTTCTCTCTCATGCACGTTTATTTTTCAACGCATGGCTAGGGCAGTTATTTCCTGAAATTCAGAAACAACCTCCATCATAGCTTCAATTACAGACACACTGACATAATTTTGAAATATTGAAGGCATTCTGACAAAATCCCCTAAGCTGCAGAATATGAATTCCTTAAAAAACTGAGCTCAGATGTCAGTGTTAGCCTGTTGTGTCTACATACACAGCGAAAAAGATAAATGCCTTGTCTTCAACAGAAGCCATTCCCTGGAGAGAGCAGTGGCTTTGGCTTTCAAGCCAGAAAGTATCAGTGTCAGGAACTTGTGACCCATTAAGTCCACAAACGTTTATAATGACTCAAAAACACTTCAGCATGAGGATGGAACAGATGAAACAACACTATTTTATAAATCTAAGACAGCTGTTTTTTTCTCTTGTAAAGCAAAAACATTCTAAATTCATTTATTAAAGAGCAGGTTCCCTGAGAAACCCTTTTAACGTTTTATTTTTGAAAATGATCGGGCACTCTGAGTTTAACATGCAGGCTGCCTGTAAAAATAATCTTCTACCCCTATTTCCTGCATTAGCTTCTGAAGATAGACGGAAAAAAACGCTCAGTTCATAAAAACCTGACAGATATACGTCACACTATCACTTAAAATTCGTGGACTCACCCATCTTAGCTCGGGAAAGGCTGTTGTTGGTTTAGCGTCCAGGAAACAGTAGAGATCGTTTAGACTAGTAGAAGCTAACCATTAGCATTAGCAATACCACCACACAGAAAAACTCTTCCAGGCTTGCGTAATTTGTGGAGAGTCAGTGGTAGAGTTGCGTTGCTGTTGTCCAATCAGAGGCGAGATGTCCAAATATCAGGAAACAGCAGAGAATATCTCAGCTAATAGAAGCTAACTGTTAGCATTAGCAACTCCACCACAATGCAGAACTCCTTCAGACTTGTAGAGATAAAACGTGAATGTTGCAAAGCAAATGGAGTCAGTGGTTGAGTTGTATTTCTGTTAGCCAATCAGAGGTGAGCTGTCCAGCTATCAGGAAATGACTCCACATCAAGCCGTTTGAAGCTACTTTCTCCTCTATCCATCCACAAACAGGCGCACCGAAGTCTTTCCCCTCAGAGTACAACTTACAAGGCATTCATTCCTACTAGAGACCACTTCAAATATATATAAATATATGTATATATATGGTATATATGGTATATATATATATATATATATATATATATATGTGTGTGTGTGTGTGTGTGTGTGTGTAAAAGAGTAAACTTTTTTTTCTAGTTGCCCACTTGGAGTTTTTAAACCCTCTTGGGAACAAGAACCCCGTCCCGAGGAGCGAAAATCACAACCTTTCCAACAAAACTGCATATTTACAAAAAGGAACATGATTTTTTTTATCAATCATTGAACTAAAATATATTTGTAGTTTTATAAAGAATTGAAAGTAATTTAAATTTCTGACCCATTGCTCCATTTCAACAGTGAGTCACTTCTCACCTAGTTATAGTTCCTCTATTATCATCCAGCCCGGTGACAGTGTCAATAAATCTATTTAACTCATATAAAGTACAAATTCCCATTATAAGGAATGGCACGTTGGCAGCATGCCCAGACCATTTCACAGGAAAGTTTCTCTTCTCTCCAGGTAAATATGGGCCACTGTTTGGTGTGTGTGTGTGGTACCAACGCCTCAGGTCGTTCTGTGAACTAGGAATTCCCAGAACAGTCAAGCGATCAGAACATTTTGAATTGTTTCTCTTTCTTGGCCCTGAACATGGTTACTGACATTTGTGTCTGTGTTTTCTTTTATAAGCTTGTTTCTTCTGCAAACCGAGTGGACACCAGCTCTCCAAGCTTCAACATGAACAACTCCAGTTGGACGTCTGTGGCTAACAGAACATCCCCCTCCCACACCAACAACACAACCAACTCTATGCCCTTCAATGAGGTCACAGCAGTCATTTATGCTATTGTCTTTATTGTGGGTTTCATGGGAAATACGCTGGCTATCTACGTAGTGGCCCGATACACCAAGATGAAGACTGTAACCAACATGTACATTCTCAATTTGGCCGTGGCGGATGAACTCTACATCCTGGGAATCCCCTTTTTGGGAACCAACAGCGCCCTGTCTTATTGGCCATTTGGGGATTTCCTCTGCAAGGTGTGCATGACTACCGACGGAATGAGTCAGTTTGCCTCCACCTTCTGCCTGACTCTGATGAGCATCGACCGCTTCCTTGCCGTGGTTTATCCCATTCGCAGTGCCAAATGGAGGAAGCCACGGATGGCTAGGATTTTTAGCGGCTTGGTGTGGGTCATTTCCTTAGTGATAGTGTTGCCGGTCACCATCTTCTCATGTGTACAGGAGGAGTTCAACACCTGCAACATCAGCTGGCCTGATTCATCCGGTGTCTGGTCTATTGTCTTTATCCTCTACACAACTATTCTGGGTTTCTTTGGCCCTTTGGTTATTATCTCCCTCTGCTACCTGTTCATTGTCATCAAGGTAACGGAACACGTAAACCTGCTCTTTGAGTTAGTTAAGAACCAGGTCATTTTTAAAAATCTTCTGTAAATCTGATGAAAGCTTTTCGCTTGCAGGTGAAGTCAGCTGGTGCACGTGCAGGTCTGACCAGGCGTCGCAGGTCAGAACGTAAGGTGACACGCATGGTGGTGGTCATCGTCGTGGTGTTTTTTCTTTGCTGGATGCCCTTCTACACTGCCAACATCGTCAACCTGATTTATGTCATCCCGGAAACCCAAATTACTGCTGCAATCTACTTCTCACTGGTCATCCTCCCCTACGTCAACTCCTGCGCCAATCCGGTCCTCTATGGCTTTCTTTCTGACAATTTCAAGCAGAGCATTCAGAAAGCCTTGTGCTTTAAAAGAACATTTGCTACTGCAGGCACAGATCCAACCGGGGGCCAAGAGAATGCTGCCAAGGTAAACCACGATCCTTTCATTCAGAGGAATCAGAATATTTTGGAAGTTTAAAAACATGGCCGACATTTTATGCAATACAAGTTTAAACTACAAATATAGACAAACACACACAGGCAAGCACACATGCAGAGGTGCACATTTTCAGACAAGAGATGTGGCTTTTAGTCATGAATGTGGAAGTGGGGAGAATGGCATAGGGTGCAATGCATTTTCAGCCTTTAGATGAGGGGGTTCTCAATCCTGGTCCTGGAAGGCTGGTACCCAACATGTTTTAGTTGTTTCCCTGCTTCAACACACTTAATTTTAATCAGTAGGCTTCTTCAGAGTCTGATGAGCTGCTGAAAGTGTGTGGGAGCAGAGGAACAACAAAAACTTTCAAATACCGGCCCTCCAAGACCAGGATTGAGAACCACTGCTTTAGATGGTGCTGTTGAATAAAAAACCTCCAGATTTCTGCTTGTTTTGGCACCTGTTTGAACTTGTTTTTTGTGTAAAAGACAACTCTCCACTCCTTCAAACAGTCAGACTCAAAAACTCCCATCATGGCTAAGACCAGAGAGCTGTCTAAGTACACCAGGGGCAAGGTTTTACATCTGCACGAGACTGAGATGAGCCATTCAACAAAAGGCAAGCACCTTGGTGAGAAGAGATCAACTGTTGAACCAATTTAATACAAGATCACTGACAATCTCCCTTGACCTGGGGCTCCATGCAAGATCTCACCTGGCGGGATACAATTTATCCTGAGAATGCTGAGAAAACGGCCCAGAACTTCACAGGTGAACTGGTCAATGACTCGAAGGGAGCTGGGACTGCAGTAACAAAAGTTACTTTTAGTAACACACTACGTTGTCATGGATTTAAAACCTGAAGCCGAGAGATCCCTCTGATTAAGCCAGCTCATGTCCAGACTCACCTAAAGTTTGCCGGAGATCATCTGCACGATCCAAAGGAGGATTGAGACAATGTCACATGGTCAGATGTGACCAAAATAGACCTCTTGGGCATAAATGCCACTTGCTGTGTTTGGAGGGTGGAAGAATGCTGAGTTGCATCCCAACACCATAGCCAATTGGAACCATGGTGGTGGAAACAGCACGCTATCGGGTTGTTTTCCTGCTAAGGCGAGAGGACAGCTGATCCGTATTAACGGGAGGATGGATGGAGCTGTGTATCGTAAGATTTTGGCCAAAAACCTCATCAGTGAGAACAATGAATATGAAATGTAGCTGGATCTTCCAGCATGACAATGATCCCAAACACACTGCCAGCTCAAGGAAAGACTGTCCATGTAAAAAGCACTTCAAGGGTCAGGCATGACCTAGCCAGTCTCCAGACCTCAATCAAATAGAAAATCTTGGGAGGGAGTTGAAAGTCCGTGCTGCAAAGTGAAACCCCCGAAACATCACAGCTCTGGAGAAGAGCTGCATGGAAAAATGGGCCAAAATACTTGCTACAGTGTGTCTAAGCCCAGTGAAGACCTACAGGAAACACTGGACTTCTGTCATTGCCAACCAAGGTTACCTTACAAAGCATTAAGGTGAACTTTTGCTATTGACCTTTTTTTCTGCACCATTATACAAAATAACATGTAATTTCCTGGATTTTCTTTTATATTATTCTGAATCTCACAGTCGAAGTTTGGCTATGATGAAAAACTTTTAAAGTGGCAAAACTTGCACTGCCAACTACCTATTGGCGCACTATTTGTGTGTGTGTGTGTGTGTGTGTACGCATGTATTATATTTATAGTTTACACTTGTATTGCATAACATGTCTGTATATATTCAGTAGATATAATTATAGATATATACCGTAGATAACAAGAACATTCTCCTGCATTCTCAAGTCCAGAGCCCACTGAGGAGGTCAATAGTTAAATACATATAAGTGTTTAAGTTTACTGTGTCCTCGGAGCTAAAGAGGAAATGAACCATCTGGCTGGTTTTCAGCACAAGTCAACATCCATGATGGTATTATGGTGATTCATTAGTTGCATGGGAAATCCTTGTGCTTAATTCCGTATTTAGCACTGTCATCAAGAATGTGTTCTTTATTAGTGAAGGATTTCATGAATTCAGCAAGACGACGCAGTACCCCATACTGAATTAACTGACTTATTATTGTTGCGTTTATAAACTTTGGCCATGCTGCAGCTCACAAATGTTTTACTGAAGAAAATTGACCTTGTAGACTCCAAACTGATGAGCTGCTGGGCTCTCATAAGCAAACATGACATCTGTCCTGCTGTTTCTGTCTTATAGCATCTCTGATCTATTATTTGTGTCTGTTTGTTTCCTCAGTCTGTTCAGATGGAGATCATCAGGAACCCTGACTGTGAGCCTTTCACCTCAAAAACTGCGACGAACGGCAAATGATTGCTGGGTTTCCAAGCTGAACCAGCGTGTGCTCATGCACTACCACATGGAGCTTGAGAAATTTAGCCCCGGGGGTTTTATTGACATGGAATTTCCGCTCTTTATTTCAGTTTGCCCTGGCTCACTTTGGTATCTCTGGAGAGGAACAGGGGGGAAAAGTCCCGCTTGAGAAGCAGCTTCTCATCGCGCCCATCAATAATCTGTGTTGTTTTTTGTTTTTGTACATTGCACCAGATGGGACTGCATCGGGATACGTTTTTCCTTATGTCGTTGTGCAACAGACGTTATTTTTATGAGTTAAGACTTCAAACTATCATTTTTGTTTTCTTCATTTGTTTTCTGACCTGAATTTGTTGCTGTTTTCTGCATGTTTCAACACTAAAAGACATCTGCAAAGGACAAGTGGAGTGTCTCACTCGGGTAAGGGTAGGAGGGTAGGACATTCGCACAGGGAATGTCGCCAAACTTTCACGAGAAATTCCTCATATCCTTGCATGGGTTTAAAAGAAATAAACATTTAGCTGAAACATTTCTTCTCAAACAAGCTTATAAATCCAATGGGAACCCTTCTCAGTTTAGCTTCAGTGAGTCTGACTTTCAGATTATTCTAGATGGTAAGGTAAATTGCCAAAACATCTAGACAGAATTATGAAATCTGTGACTATATTGAGACAAAAAAATATGTTTCGCGTGTTGAAAAACAAACACTCTGCCCCTTTGTCCACTTGCACATGATGCTAACACAACCCTTGATATTGTCAACACCAAAGGCCATTCACTTTTCTTCATTATGTTTACAATATTATTCCAGTTATTCACCTTTTTCAGCAGAAGATCAAAGTTAAATGGATAATGTCAAATGTTCTTTGTTTTTCTGTGGAAGTGGAACATCACCATCCATTGGCTGCAACTTTATCGCCTCCAAAATTTCTGTATCTTTTAAACTTCACTTTGGAACAAAAATTATAGTTTTTATTTTCACCAAACGTTTTTAGCACGTGGGCAGTAAGCAGAAAACATCTTTTGAAACAAATTATAGTGGCGTGGACTGCTGCCTTTCCACTGGCTACGTAAGCAGCGCGTAACGTAATCGATGCCCAATAGATTACCCATGAACTCCCTTCCCACCAGAAGGTGTCATTTGGAATTGTAGGATGGCCAAGGAAGGTCCCACCTATCTTGCCTCTTATTGGCTGGAAGGGCTCTCCTACGATTGGCTATTTCATGTAAATGGCAAACTTTGTTCCCTCGCTGCAGGGTTTTTTGTCTGCAGCCAGATCATGAGGAGTTTTTGAAGAAAATGTGGTCTTAGCGCTATAATAACCATTATGTCCTGTTTTGCAACAAACCAGTTTCTGTTTCTTTCATAGAAGAACCCGAGTAACATCTTTTTGTGTAACCTAATTGTAATAAATCTTGTTAGACTGACTTTAGAGTATATCTGTTAGCTCTCAAGCCTTGGGGTTATCGTATTACTATAGGCTATCTTAGGTCTTCACTTTCATTGGTTAAGGTTGTTTGCAAGTCAGGACACATCTCTCATCATCTGTTTAAATGTGCATCATTCAATCAAAATTTTATTCAAAGCTAATTATGATTTAAACCTGTTTTTCAGCAGTTTTCATCATTATCCTATGTATTCTGCTTTAATAAAATAACCTTAATGCTTGAGAGCCAACAGATAAAGTGAGTCCTACAGTGTGATAAATACAACATTTATTACAAGTTCACATTTTTACATGTTTTTTTTTTACTAAAATAAACAGAAACAAAAAAATTTGCTAAAAGTTTACATTTTCTTTACAAAACTTCCCAAAACAGCTTTTCTGTTGGTGGCGGTAGGACAGGCAGCACTTGGAGAGGGAAGACAGTTTGCTGCTAAATGAAAGAGCCAATCATAGGAGAGCCCTTCTGGCCAATCAGAGGCAAGAAAGGCGGGATCTTTCTTGGACATCCTACGATTCCAAATGAAGCCACCGGGAGAATTTCAGACGAAAAACGGTAGCTAAAGCGTTTCACACAACGAGGTCATGAAATTGCCGGAGGATTGCTGGGAAGCGTGATTATGGCAGTTCTTGCAATAACAAGCCAAGAGAAAGATGGCAGCATGTATCCAAAAAGGTCTGTGATTTATGTTCAGTTCTGTTCTCATCGGATACGGAGATTTCATATGGACTTTGGAGATCTGCGTGTGACTTTTATTTTGAAAGGTTCTATGTTTTACACTGCTTTTGAGATTGACTTCCTGTCTGGCCCGATCTAAACTGCAGAGTTCGACACGTTCTGGAAGCGTAAGCAACGCGTACCAACGTGGCAGGTGGAAACACACCCCTCTACTACGGTGGCTACTTCGCTGCGTACTACGTTTTCGCGGATATTATGTGACGCCTCCACAACTGATGGATGAACAAAAGTACTCCTACATTGCAACGTTCCCCTGTTAAATCCCGACATTCATCTAAATGCTAATATGAGATGTTTTTAAAACTCTTCCAGGCCCACGCAGATTGCAACAGAAGTGTTGCAGCAGTTCATTTCCTAGATAACTCAAAAGAAAAACAGTTAAGGAACTAGACAGAAACTATGTTGGCTTCTCCCAGTTAAATACCAATCAGATGAGATCAGTGGGAAGCCAGCCCAATCAGCAGAGACCCACAATACCAGGGTACCAGATGTTTCAGGACACCTCCAGATGTTTTCTTACAGTGTACCCAGGCTACACTGGTTTCTGGGGTGACAAGATGAGTCCCACATTGTTTTATAGCTGAAAGGTGTAATCTTATATATGATTGGAGCTATAATCTTGGTTTTTGTGCTTTGCCTAATTATGCCCTTTGAATATTAGCAGTATTTGTTTTGCCCTGCAACAGCCAGAGAGATAAGTGTTTCTGGTTAGTCTCTCATTAGGGGGCCTTTTGTTGGCCTCACGGTTTTTGAAGGACCTTTCCGCGATGTGAAAAATGTCTTTAAATAGCACGACTTAGTGTTGTTTCTACATCTTTTCTCCCTCCTATTTCTGCAGCTGGAGCAGGTTATCACGTTGCACCACACAGAAAAAATTCAGCTTTTGTTTTATTGTTTCTTTTACTGAAACTTTCTCATCTTCACGGTTACAACTCGAGCCCAAAGTGTCAAGAACGTCTACAGGAACTTTGAGCTTTTCCAGAAAAACCAACCAGTGAAACGGACTCATGGAGTTAAAGGAGACACTGGATTTATCCATGATAGCAACACTGTGAATTATTATTTTTTTTCTTACATAAAAGGTCATTTTGAATTCAGTTTCTCAGTCATGTAAATGCAAACATTATGATGTAATTATGAATATTAATAAAACAAAAAGAAAGACATATTTTGCATTATTTAGGTCCTGCTGACGTGTGCCTGCATGAAACAAGGCTTATATGTATACATTAATCCCGTGAACATTTAGTTTGTTTATTTACTCTGTAATCCTCAGCATAATGGTAAGTTCTTGTTTCAGAGCAAAGCACTTTTTGTTTCCAGTCCAAACAAATCATGCCTCAATGTGCTTATCGCTCACCAGAGTGTGATGATATTTTTGTTTTTATATCTTTTTTAATAAAACTGCAAAATAAAAAGTCCATAGTGGAGCAGAAGAAACAACATGACTCACATTTTTTTATATTGTGTGCAGGATATGTTGGAGTTGTGCAAAAATAATAAAAGTGCGCTGAAGGCAATAAAAACGTAGTATCTGATGTAAATTTATGACCGCTGTAAAGACTCACCGGTGCAGTGTTTCATAAAGTCCCAGCTGTATTTTTACACCGTCTGATTGGGGAACAGATGGATCCATGCGTGATTTCTGTAGCTCTCAACAAACAGCTGCTTCTTTTCAAGGATGGCGAGAATGTATTTTCTTTGCTTTTAGTTACAATCAGTCAAATTTAAATGAAGGGCCAAACATTCTTGTGAGGAACGCAGATCACCTGCTACCTTTCCTTCCAGAGTTTTGATCTAAGATCAGTTTTTGTTGAAAAATGATTGACTTTTTGTTGTTGTGGTCCCAAAATGTGTCCACAGTCATGACATCTTGAACTGAGTCGACTCCAAAAGCTAATCAGGAGTGGAAGAACATCTAATAAATACGTAGTGAGTTTGCTTCATGAGATATGTTGCATACAAACACAAGCACTGGTCGTTTAATCACCAGTTATTGGCCGATCATGATGTTTCAGCCTGTGTGATTTACACAGGCAGACCAACCTAAAGAAATAAAATGTATCTTGAACTGAAAATGAAGGCTGAAGTTGCAACGTGCGGAGATTTTCATTTTTATTGAATTTTTTTGTAATTACATCTTAACCCAACAAAAAAGCTGCTTTCACAAATGTGTACATTTACGTTCATTTTGTGTGTCTGACTCAGTGTTCATGAAAACACATAGGTCAGGAGGATGTTACTAACGTATTTTAATATTATTTGACAGAAAACTTAAAACTGACATGTTGACCGAGATGCTTTTGCAAAAATATTGTCATTAAAAAGCAATCTTGAAAACCACAAACTGTGGATTTTGACAATTTGCTTCATTTTTCTGTGCAATATAAGAGATGATCACTGATTGGCTGACTGTTGCAACACATTCTTTTGATCAGTTTGACTGGTTTAATGATATGCACTATGGATGCTATTCGGTTAGTTAAAGCAAGAGGTAAGGTAGTTTCTTAATATTTTAGAATATAGTCAGATGTTTTCTGGTGTTTCATAATCATTCCTAATAATTATATGATGATCCATAATCGTTTTCCAACCATTTCTGATCAATCCTGTGTTTAATATCTTTTGTCTGAGCAGAGTCCAAAACTCATGATAAACATTTTTCTGAAAATCAAATTGATGTTTGTTTATTTGTAAATGGTGAAGATGATGATGACAACAACAAATAGGATAATGACAATGACAACACAATGATGATGATGATGATGATGATGGTGAAAATGATGATAATGATGATGGTGATGATAATGATGGTCATGATGACGATAATGATGGTGATGATGACGATAATGATGGTCATGATGACGATAATGATGGTGATGATGACGATAATGATGGTGATGATGATGATGACAACAACAACAAATAGGATAATGACAAAGACAATACAATGAAGATGATGATGATGATGATGATGATGATGATGATGCAGTGATGATGGTGATGGTGAAAATGATGATGATGATGATGATGGTGATGATGATGATGATGATGATGATGATGACAACAACAAATAGGATGACAATGACAACACAATGATGATGATAATGATGATGATAAGGATGACGATAATGATGGTGATGATGATGACGACGACGATGATGATGATGATGATGGTGAAAATGATGATGATGATGATGATGATGATGATGGTGATGATGATGATGATGGTGAAAATGATGATGATGGTGATGGTGACGGTGATGATGACAACAACAAATAGGACAATGACAATGACAACACAATGATGATGATGATGATGATAATGATGATGATAAGGATGACGTAATGATGATGATGGTGAAGAAGATGATGATGATGATGATGGTGAAAATGATGATGATGGTGATGGTGACGGTGATGATGACAACAACAAATAGGACAATGACAATGACAACACAATGATGATGATGATGATGATAATGATGATGATAAGGATGACGTAATGATGATGATGGTGAAGAAGAAGATGATGATGATGATGATGGTGAAAATGATGATGATGGTGATGGTGACGGTGATGATGACAACAACAAATAGGACAATGACAATGACAACTCAATGATGATGATGATGATGATGATGATGATAATGATACGATGATGAAGGTGATGGTGAAAATGATGATGATAACAATGATGGTGATGGTGATGATAATGATGACGATAATGATGGTGATGATGATGATGATGATGATGACAACAACAAATAGGATAATGACAATGACAACACAATGATGATGATGATAATGATGCGATGATGGTGATGGTAATGATGATGGTGATGATGATGATGATGTGATGATGATGGTGATGATGATGATGTGATGATGATGGTGATGATGACGCTGCTGTACTTGTTATTTGAGTCTTTTTTCAGTGAAGTTTTACAGTAACTTCATACAGTTTAAACTGTAATCTGATTACAGGTATCCATTGCTAATAATAGGGATTTGAGGTCCCAACTGTAGTTTTTAAATTTCTTATCTACCATTTTTAAAGTAGAGTGTAAAATAGAAGATTACTTTAGAGATTACTTCAATACCCACTAACAATTATGTGCAGCGAGAGACATTGTCCTAAAATGTTTCCCACATTTGCCAGTTTGGCAGATGTAGCTCAGAGGTTTTCACCAACACTGGTCTGATTTATCACCAACTGTTGCAGCCCAGTGACGTTCTGGCTTTGGGAGAGAATGGTGACTAAGGTCAGCTGACTGTCTTGGGAAAACATTTCAGGCCCTGAACGGGTTTTACATTTCGACTTCCTGTTTGTCTTTTCTAGGAAAATCCAAACGAATTGGTGCAGTTGACAAAATCCCAGATAAAATCTATGAGCCCTATAAGCCTTACCTGGGTGACACTAAAAAAAAGATAAAAGCAAATGGATGATATTCACGAAATGTACTCATGAAACAAAATGTTGAATAACAACATTCAAATATCTCCTTTTGAACCTTTTTATCGACTACCTCTCCACATCTCCCGTCCTTTCTCCCTCTTATTAGCAGCTCCGTCCCATTTGGCCCTTATTCCAACCTTGTTTACCGACAACCTGTTTTTGTGCTGGCTCGCGTTGTGGGTGTTAAAACACACCGCTCATTCTGCAGCTCCTGGTTACCCTGCTTGTTTGTGGTCATACTGCCTCCATTCCATCAGCCTCAATGTCAAACAGAAGAAAAAAATCGACATCATTACCAAACCAGTTCAACTGGAGCTGTTTTTGGACCATCGTCTGATTCCGAGAAAGAGATAGGAGGAAAACACGTAGAAAGTTTGTTACTGAGTGACCTGCACACACATGATCACATAAGCTGTTGTTTGGATTTTCCATGTCAACTTTCCTTGCAGTCAAACTATCTAATGATTATTAGGTTTTGCTCAGAAAAATGTTCATTTAAAAACCAACATGCATTGTTTTCAGAAGATTGGAAGCTCAAGTTCTGAAGAAAAACGATCCCGTAAACATTATTCCAACATTAGCAGAGTGGGTGAAGGAGAAACGCTCGACTGCATGAAACAGGTTTGCTTTTTGTGGCCTTTTCTAGCATTTATGTGTTTTATTGAAAAGGCAAAGCAGCAGCGGACCCTTCTGTTCTTGGAAAAATGAAAAGAAAAATGCACTAAAGCTCGGTAATTAACCTCCAGCTTGACCTTTGAGGACCTCAAAGAACTCAAAAGGTTTCTAAATGAATTTCTTGTTTACTTGAAACCAAACTACACTTTAGCATCTTCTCCTAAAAATAATGTCTTGGCACTAAATTTAGGAGGGGTAAAAACCCGGTGCTTAAACCTTTCGTGTTTTATGACCTCCCTCCACACCTTGACAGCAAATCTGTTGAGCTGTAGAAGGAGAAGCCTGGGTGTTAAAAGTCAAAAGCTAAAATTTTATCTCAGCCAGAGACAAAACAGTTAAAAGTTCATTCCTCCTGTTGGACTTTAGTGACGTTATTTATATGAACGTCTCCTCTGCTAAGGCTAGAGTCAGCAAATCAACGGCATTGAAACAAAATGCAGACTTTAGCAGAAACTAAGACCTGAAACTACTCGCTGTCACTCACCGGCCACTTTATTCAGCACACCCATTCAGTTGCACATAAACAAACTAGTTCATCTGCCAATCACATGACAGCACTTCAGTATATCAGAACAAAAGGGAATTAAAGTGATTTTGAACATGAGATGGTAGTTGGTACTAGGCTGGTCTGAGTATCTCAGGAACAGATTTTCAACTGCAACCATCTAGTTAAAGCAATACCAAGTAAGTTTCCTGCTTCACCATCCTGCATGAAGCAGAATTACAACCGTCAACAACCCTGCTGCTGCCTGCAAGCTAACACTGAGCCAACGCTAACACGAGCTAACTGATGCTAAATAAGCCACAAAGTAAAATGATTAACATTGTTGGTTAAAAAACATTATTACTTACAAGTCCTGAAACAAAGCCAGGTCACCATCAGTCCGTGACCAAGTTAGCGTGTAGGCTAGCAGATGACACATTTAGTGTTGCTTTAAGTGCAGTTTCAGATCAGCAGAGGGCTACCGTGTGGTGTCTAATGTGATGTTGGTCAAGTTTGTGGCTGAAGAACAACCATGGACGTAATTTTGGGGGGGGGGGGGGGGCAGGGGGGACATGTCCCCCCCACTTTTTCCATAGTCAAGTTTTGACCCCTGCACTTTTTACCATCCAAAAACAATATTATTTTATATTAAATTGACACTGGTTGAGCTCTAGGACCAAGCAGAAAACAACCTTTTGTGTTGAAGCCTGTTTCCTATTAGAACATACTGTAAAGATACCCCTCCCACCGCCACCCCCGTGTCCCCCCCACTTCTAAAGTGAAAATTACGTCCATGAGAACAACTGAAACCAGTTTGAAAGCAATTGGTTAAAGTGCTGCTTTAACAGATAATTGTCTGAGTAGCAGCTGTGTAGGTTGAGGTCAGAGGAGCCTGGTTTAAACACCACAGCCTACCTGAGTATTGTTGTTGACCATGTCCATCCCTTTATGACCACACGAACCATCTTCTAATGGCTACTCCCAGCAGGATGACAAAGCTCAGATAATCTCTAACTGGTTCTAAAACATGACCATGAGTTCACTAAACAACCTCCACAGTCACCAGATCTCAGTCCAGTCCAGAACCTTTGGGACGTGGTGGAACGGGGATTCTCATCATGGATGGAGCTGTGTGACAATGTCATCTTAATATGGACCAGAACCTCTGGTGAAGTATCCCAACACCTTTTTCAATCGGATGTGAAGATTTCCGACGGTTCTGGAGGAAAACGAGGGTCACACCCAGTACTTGTTAAATAATCCTCGCAGTAGATTCAGAACCGTCTCTCTCTCCACAGATTTAAAGTTAATTGTTTCTTCTTTTGGTAAAAACTGTATTAAAAGAAAACCTGGAACTGTTTTACTTGCTTTTCTGTGTATTAAAAGTTATTGTTTTGTCTTTATTATCTTGGTTTTGTTTTTATGTAAATCTGTCTTTATTTATGATCCTCTTATTTTGAAACATTTACACAATACCGCTTTTTAAGTCACTGCCTTGTCAAGGATTTCCTGGAAGAATAAATGTTGAATCTCAACAGAACTTTCCTGGTTTAACTAAAGATAAATAAAAAACCCTTCCAAAAGGAAGTTCATCAGGAGTTTGTGTTTAAATAGCCGAGTGACAAACACCTTGTAAAGGTTTTAGTAGAGGATAAAACCTGCTAGGAGCATTGGGTGTTTAGTGTTTGGTGATTTCACACGACAGATGAATTATATTACCTTTAGCATCAAAACCACAAAAATA